GCAGTAGAAAATGCAAAAATACACTTAATAAAATCTGAAACAATGTCAGGGCTGTCAGAGGGGGACATTGTGGTTTGCGGTATTGCAAAATTTTTCCTGTGGTATTTTGGTAATTTTAGTCTCAAACTGTGGTACTGCAGTATTGCCAGAACCTGCAGGATGCTTTTGTTTATGGGCAACCCTAAAACACAGAATCCGGAAACTGGAACCAGAATCCTGATATTAAGACTGACAACAGAAATAATTCACTTCAGCAATGTCCAATAAATAAAATGATATACTCTTAGGGAAAAAATATTTTGTTGCTGTTTATTTTCTTTCATGTAATTGTGAAAAAAAAGACAAGTTTTCAACAATCACTAGCTATAAATTTGGCTCAGTTGTTCAAAGGGGAGATAAAGTTATCCATTGGGAAAATCACTATTCAGTCAGGGTTAATGATTTTTCAGATGGATAGAGTTACCCATAGCTTGCAAGCAGGCTCAAGTGTCTGGGTTCCCACTCAAGCGCTGCTTTCTTGCTTTTCACTTTGGCACACAAGTGAGTGTCTTCTTGCGGCTTCACTGCTCACAACTCCGGGCCTAAACACGAGAGCATGGGCCCATCCTATTTTCAACCTGGCTCCAATGGGAGCATGGTTCTTGTCTAGATCAAATTGCTCAGAGAAGACTGATGAGAAGCAAAATAGCAAGAAGCTATTGTCGAAGAGATGTTCATGGGCAATGAGTTTCTGGCAGTCTTTTAGCATCTTTCAACAACACGTGGTCTGATCCATTTGAAAGCGAAGAGCAGTCGGTGTACAACATTTCTATAAATTGTTTTAATATGATGGCCAACAAGAATATCTAGTGATGATATGTAACAATATCAGAGTGAAAATAGTGTTGATCTGGAATTAGTCTAGTATCAGTTGGGAAAAACAAATTTATTTAGACGAGTCAGGTTGGCCTTTGGGCATTGAAAGTGGCAGGCATGACTGTCGTGGTACAGGTGGCTGCCACTGATGGAATCCCTGTTCTCTGTGACATTTGCTAACCTCTTATGTGCATTTACTGAAACCGGTGCCACGCAGACGATGAAAACCAATCAGATGGCAGAACTGTAGCAATAGATTCCAACATTTTTAAATGTGATTAGTTTTCATTGTCTGGGTGGCCCCGGTTTCAGTAAACGCACTGTAAATATCTACTAAACATGAAGGCCTTGTAGATCACTAAAAAAGTGGCCATTACCAGCAAGCTCATTTTAGTGGCTCAAAGAATACTTAGAATCAAATTATGACATGTGTTACTTACATTCTCATACTCATGGCCATCACTAGAAATAACGGTTACACGAATTTCAACAGGCAGAGAATTCTTGTTTCAAAAGAGGACAAAGAGGAGAAGTTTGTGGTCCTTTTTTCTTGGCCTCTTACTATTTACTGGGAAAAGCTATGCAACGTATTTTCCATGCATTTAAAGAACTTGTTTTTTTTATTTGTGGATTCCAGATTCCGGATTCTAAGATTCTGGTTCCAGATTGCAGATTCCACGTTTAAGGACTGCCCATTCTTTAGCATTTTGGATGGTATTAGAAATTATCCTACAAGTTTTCCAGTGTTTCCAAGCCTTTTCCAGTTTCCGATTGGACATTCCCCATGAAACTTAGCTCTAGTGGGAATGGAAAACTGCAATTCTTTGTGTTGCAAACAGAAAAGGGCAAGTATGGATGTTACCTATTTTGATTATGTTGTCTAAATTGAAAATAACCTGACTTAATGTTCATTAACAAATTCTGTGCGATTGGTATAAACACCTCACATGACTGAATATAAAGTTAAAACTGGGGAATATCTGAGTGATATTTCCCAATTTTCAAAACGGGGTAATAAACACAATAGCCTCCATTTGACCTGAAAATATGCCCTGATATTATTTTGTCGTTAGACATTATCTGTTCCTCAAAGCTCACAGTTTTCCTGAGCTATGCTCTTGGAAAACAGTTTGCTTCTTGAAACAGATAATGTCCATGGACAAATATCCGAGCATATTTCCGTGCCAAAT